ATCCAGCAATCATCCCCCCATAATGCCAACTATAATAAACTTCAGAGCTAAGGGTGAACCATTCAAGAAATAGATGTTTGCTGATGATGTTTTAAAGAAAGTCACACCAGTGAACTGGTGGAAGTCACTTAAGCACTTGGATTCAGAACTGTTGAAGTGATAATCTCACTTTTAACAGCAGTAGCTTCTTCTGCCAGTGTAGAAAGAATATTTTCTTCCTTTGAACTAATTCATTCCAAACTGAATATGTATTAAGGTTATAACAACAAGAATGAACTTTTATGAAGAAATCTGAGTCTTCCTGACTAGTGATTGAAATTATTTAAATCAAATCCACCCTGTTATTCACTGAAATATTTTTTCATCTGTGTGAACGTGTACAATGAAATTGATATTTACTGACAGTTACAGATAAACAAATTCTTCCAAACCTATATACAGATTACCACCTAGGGCTCGTAACCCGCCCCCACCATAGTTTGAAACAGATTCCAATATGCACAGAAACTGTGTTTTGGTGTAACAGTGTATTAACATAGTTTCAAAACACTGTTACAAGCCCCAACATGGACAAGACTTTAAAGACTCATATTTTCATTTAACACATTCAGTGTACACAATACACTTCTTAGGGGCTGTATTAGTTTCTTTGCTGAATATGAATCTCCTCACTTGCCCTATGGAATAGGTTCAGGTCACAGAATCATGCCAACTTGGATAGAATATACAAGTAATGCACAATATTTCAACATATTGAATTAACTTCCCGTTGAAGTTGAATACCTTGCAGCCCTGATCCAAACAAAAGGGCTCAGTAGGATAAAAGAACAACCTTATATTGATGGAACCTTTTAACTAAAGTAAATATTGATTTTTTCTTTATTTACAAAGATATTGTAAATTCATAGCACCATTTATAAAGGCTCATTTACAAATTGAGAAGTTAACCATAGTAGCCTCTCCACCCACTTGCCCTCAAGGTAAACTCCTCCAAAATAGGACACTGTAACTCTTAGTTCTAATAAGGCAGGTGCCAAGTTTAATCTCTCGGCCATCAAGCCTGAATCCTGCATCACCTCTGCACTCTGTTCTTATGGAAGAATAAAAGGCAGAGGCTCAGGGAGAAAGCCATTTCCACAAAAATGTTCATCTAAAAGTACCTTTAAACTACTTCTCCCTACGAAAGTTGGTTTTAATGGATCACCGGTTGCAGAGTGTGCCTTGCTAACATTTTATTTCTTCCACAGTTCCTTCTAGTTTCCTACAGCTACCAAGTTATATTTCCTGATTGGTCACTGCAGTATTACCAGTTGGAGGCCAAAAGTATTTTACTCCCCAGCTACTAAAGGGTCACGAAATTCTCTCTCATTTCCTTTTGACCCATCATCTGCACTGGACATTCACTACCTCAAACTAAAAGCACAGCAGCCAAAGTTAACCAAAACTACTCCTAAAATGCTATCCAAATGATTGGCTTTTAAGATCAACAAAAGGTTCTGTTAAAGCCCACTCCACAGGATGTGACAGTAACTCTAACACAGGAAACCCCTCATAGGTCAATATTTTTAATCAACCTATGTTCGCTCTACTCTATAATTTTATGCACAATAAAGCAAGCAAGCTTTCAGAAAAGTAATAGAGCGTGTTCCAATAATGACCTAGATATTTTTTTAATACTGAAGAGTGTCAGACCTGGTAACTCTCCTCTAACCTTCCTCACATTACCAATTTCTCTTTTGGTGAATTCAGTGGTGGTGAAAGTTGCTGGGTTCATTGTCATGAGACTAAAGTCCTCTTTTTATCTAGAGAACAAGTATATCTCAGGTGATCACCTGTTCATGACTACTGAATCCTCGGCGACTCTGTGAAGAATGTCTACAAATGTGCAAATTAGCGACAAATGTGGTTGTTGGAAAGGGAACAACTGTCCCTAGAAGTATGGAAGAAGACGGTTTATAGAAACACTAATGGGTAATTCTTTGATTTTCACTTCAATGTTCTTCTTACATGGATACTGGGAAACAACCTGAGAATCATCATCATCTCTTTATGTAGGCCAAACAGCTATCAGATTGTAACAACTTCCACTCAAGAACACCTTGGAGTGGGTTTGAACTAGCGGCCTAGAGACAAAAGTTTTTATACAGCATCCTCAAATCCTAATGTTGCTAAAGTTTCTGGCACCGCAGAGCTGAATCTATAATCTCTCAATCTCCTGAGAAAAGGAAGGTGCTCATTGCTTAGAGAAACAGCCAAATCTGTTCTTGCATTGCACACTGATGTTATATGAGACGGTGCCTTGGAGAATACTAGTACAGGAAAGTTATTTCCAAGCATTAAATGATTAATATTACAGGTGAGATAATTTAATGTTATCATTCCCCAAATCAAAAGACAAAAGCTTTAATATTACTGCTGTTACAAGCCCCAACTAAATTAAGACACAAATATTCTCCCTAATCAGCGTGGATAAAAATAATTTAGAAAATTATTTAAAAAATATTATTTCTTAAATTTAAATTAAATACATTTTATTTTTAAAATACATCTGTTTAATATTAAATTTGAAATTATGACAACATATGTTAAGGCCTAGACTTACTGTAAATTTATTTAGATCAATTTAGAAAAAATATGCTGCATAAAGGAGCCCTCCTCAAGTTTTAATGAGTTCAGGGTTCTGCTTTTTTATTTTTATATTGAATCAACGGAAAACATCTTTAATTTGAGGTCAACTCAAGCTTTATAAATGACACAAAGTCATGTACTGCATTAAGTAAGAATCTATATTATTTTCATTCTTTACTACACAATGCATGTTGATATTCACATTTTTCCAAATATAAGTACTTCAAGGTTTTTTTGCTTAAAAAAAAAAAAGGCTTTTGCCTTTATGACTGTTGGTTTCAGTTTAGCTAGCAGAGATAATATTTTCTTTGTTTGGACTAGTTCATTCAAAACTGAGAAAGCAATTGGGAGTTGAAAAAGTAGAAGAGTTTATTTTCCTCTTCCAATCTGTGAATAAAAAACAGGTGGGAGAGGATGAGATCTATTAATTCTAAAAGCTTGAAGGACATGGGACCAATTTTTAAAAAGTATTTATCCTGTTTAGGCACTTAACTCCTATTGATTTCAATGGGAGTAAGACAGCTAACCTAATTCAGCACTTTTGAAAATCCCACTAAGCATCTATCTGCATTTTTAGACAACTAAATATCTTTGAAAATCTGGCCCAGGGTTACGAGACACAACGGTCAATTCCCTAACTATAGTTAATAGTTCCTTCTTTTAATATATTAGTTGCTTTTTGAATGCAAACTATGTTTTTATAGCATGTTTTGTTTTCCTTACGCATTCAGCACATTTAAAGTCATTTTATTTAAATTAAAACAAATTGAAAATGCTAGCTTTGTGCATTGTTAGCTGAGATCCAATTTCTATCCAAATGCAGCCTGACAGAAATCCCAAGTAAAAAATTATAATCTAGTAAATAAGAAATGAGTCATTCAACATTTTCTAACACAATACAAATGTAAAAATTAAGAATCTGAAAAAAAATTACGTTGAGCTACATAATTGCTTAAATAAATATGTATACATACAGTGTATCACCGAGGATAGCAAAAAAAAAGTACCAAATTTAGTGTAAAGACTATATTTAGTTGCATATTGGCAGCATTTAATGGTTATACCAACCAATGAGAATTAACTTTTTTTCTGGTAGGGGGTGGCGGAGATAACTAAAAAGTACACATGTTAAGCAAGATTAAAATCAATTATTTAAATCAAGGTTTCTTGCTTGCTAATTTAAATGGCAACTCCAATTAGTGATTTATATCAATTTGATTTGTATCAATCCACCATGTTCCTATCATATAGGAAAGTTGTGATTCTGCAGCTTCAATCTCTCACAAAAGCTATTACAGAGTACCCACAAATATCCACTGTAAAAAAACTTTTCCTCTGTGTGTGTCAATCATAGCCATAATCATTTACCAGATACAGCTAATAAAAACATCCCTAATCAAGAAAAAAATAAAACGCACATATAACTCATTTCATAGTCTGTGATACAGAATGTTTGTATCATCATTATCCTACAACTCTTTCACACACACCTGCCCCCACTTTGAACACAAGCCACTCTTTGCCTATTACTGATTTTTTCTGTCATGCATGTCAGAAAAACCTTTTCTGATACAATGGCGCCCTCTTTTGGATCTTTCCCATCACTGTATTTATCCAAGTTACTCAACTGAAATGCTACAGTGTCACAGCAATTTATGCCTGTTCTTGAAGGATTTCCAGAAGTAGCAGTTTAATTCCAGTGTTCATTAAACTTTAGAAGTGCAGATGTACACTTTTCCCCTATATAAAACAAGAGTTCAAAGAAGATTTGTCCTCAAACCCAGAAGTTGCTAAATTTAAGAAAAAACTATTTTCAGAATATGTGGTTTGTTCTCTGAAGCACGGCACGCATGTCTCAGATGCAAGCAAAAGCTTATGTGCAGGAGTTCCACTAAGTGCTGATGGTGGTAAAGAAACCACAAAGGCAGCCACCAGAATGCTCTCAGTTCCTCCACCTTCTCTTTTTAGCTGTATGATCAGCCATTGCAAACCCCCTCCCCTTTCCCTCAGCCCAGCCATAGCAGATTCCAAGATAGCTGTATCTAAGAACGGATTGCTAATTGCACATTAGTACAGCATGTATACACATGCATACGTACACACACTTGTCATTCTTCTAGAAGTCCTTCCCTACAGAATCCCACATTTCTAATAGGTGAAATGATTTGTTCAGTACAAGCAACACTGAACACAGCCACTAATATGGGACATTCTGGAATGCAGCAAAAATGTCCCAGAGGCGAGAAGGGTTGTAATGCCCTGCAGTCCCGAGGCAGGAAACAATCAAGAAAGAAAACACACAACCCTCTCTGGATTTCCTCCCCACCTCCAAAGTCCCAAATAGTCCACATATATAGAAGTGTCCATTTCACCTCTGTCTGCAGGATGGCAGCTCTCTGTTCTTTAGCTGTAAGGGATTCTTTCAGCACCTCGATATGCTGCTTGCTGTCAGAGAACTGGTTTGTGAGGGTCTCCAGTTTTGTCTGCAAGGCCAGCAGCTCAGTGTCTTTGCGTGACAGCTCCTGTTTCACCTGACCAATCTGAAGAAGGAAACGAACATGGGGAAGAGGAAAAAGAAGAGAGGATCGATAGTTACCAATCTATACCTTTAACACAGCAATAAAAAATGATCATTCATAAAACTACCAAAGAAGAAAATGATATTCTAAAGAACAAGTCTTTCGCTGCCTGTAAGCCTAGCAGAAAGGTCTCCACAGAACATCAGGGGAAAAAGGGGGAAGTAAATCCCATTCAGTTAGTAAAAGGTATGCATTTAAATAGAGTGAAACCCATATTCAGCTATCCTATAATGGACAATCCAAAATCAACTGTTTACCAGGGGTAGTCTTTTAATGAAGATGCAACAGAACTGTACTGGATATGTACATTGCTCAGGTAGTAACAGTGCATTGTAAACACCTAAAGAGATTAGATATGTTTGGGTATACCTCTGAGTGATCTCTTTGATGGGTGTTTGCCTTTTGTCACTTGAACTAGTTTCTTCTGCCACCCTTTCAGCGCACCAATCCAAACCCATCTCCAGAGAGAATGTCAGTGAAACATACCTTTCATTTTTACATTTGGTAAAACTAGCATTTCACCCTTCCTGACATGAGAAACATCCCTTTATTTGGGAATCTTTCTTAAAGTGAGTCTGAGTCTAGTGTAAAACTATTAACACTAAAATTACAACAAATCATACTAAAAAAGCTGCTTTTGGAATTGCTATGCAATGAAAATCTCTATGCAGATTTAGAGTTCACTGAAGACAGTGGCAAAATTCCCATGGTTTCAAGAGACAGAGAATCTCAATGAATAATGAGTGAAAAATTTCATCTGCACAGTAGTGGGATAAGATTAAAAACCTCAGACTAAAAACAACCATCACCCAGGACACCTTTGGAACCAAACCTGAAGTCAAGAATACATGCTTAAAGAGAGGGATTGGTTGAGGCTACAAACTGACATAAATCAGGCTTATAATTGGAAATTTCTGGTTTTGCCTCCTCCCCTAAAAAAGGGCAATTTAATTTAGGCCTAACATTTTGATCAAAGGAGGAGGAACAGGTCCTTATAAAGCCAAACATGAACTATTTACAAACAACTTCCCCAGCAGTGCTGGAAACCCAAGCCCAACAGCATGCTAAATTCATGCAAACCAGAAAATGAAGCAGATTATAAACTAAAATGAAACTGACCAGTCCAATTTTGTTTTCCAAACTGAGTGAAATACACATGAAAAAAGCATAAATCTTATTTTTTTAAAAGAATGAACTATATTTTAAAAAATGTCAATTTTAATAATCTGAGGTGTTAATGGCAATACAAAAGGAGTACTTGTGGCACCTTAGAGACTAACCAATTTATTTGAGCATGAGCTTTCGTGAGCTACTGGGAGGAGGTATTGTTTCATATTCTCTGTGTGTATATAAAGTCTGCTGCAGTTTCCACGGTATGCATCCGATGAAGTGAGCTGTAGCTCACGAAAGCTCATGCTCAAATAAATTGGTTAGTCTCTAAGGTGCCACAAGTACTCCTTTTCTTTTTGCGAATACAGACTAACACGGCTGTTCCTCTGAAACCTGTCAATGGCAATACAGATGTCTTAAAAATAATATTTTGAGTCCTTAGATGAAAGTAAGGAAGTGGACAAGTTTCCTTATATCTTGACAATACCCTGTTGATAAATGGATATTTTAAAAATTCTCTTTCTTGGATGCTACTGCAGTTTTTCTAACACATCACCTCAGACCTGTGTGTCCTGGAGTAAAATGGTGTGTAGGGGAGATGACTGTAGGTGTGTAGAAACTGGGGACAGGTTAAAATTTCTTTCTCCATTTTTTAAAGGAGAAACTGGAGAGAAGTTAAAGAGAATTTCATTTAGAGGACTATTAAATGGTAAGTCATTAACTTAATTCTGACTTTAATGTTCATCTTACACTAGATGCTAGACACATTAGTTCTTTTTACTGATAGAAAATACTTCAATAAAAAGATTCCTCATTCCATTTAGCAGAGAGGCACCTAAGTGTGAATTGTAGCAGTTTCTGCAGTCAGCCTCTCAAACTTTTGTTCCTATATAACAACCAAAACCAAATGCATTAATTACCTTGGGTACAGCATAAGAAATGGAAAGGAATTACAGAATTTCAGGCTAGTTCAGTTTTCTTACTGTCTCTCAACCAAAAAAACCTTGTAAGCTTCAGATGGCACTACATTCTCCAATTCAGAGGCAGCACAAATTAGAGTAAAATCACTGGTCAGTTTTGCTTTTGAAAAAAGACAATTTACTTTGGCTCCACCTGAAGAAGAGGGAATTTAGACCCTCTTAGCCCAGATATTTTAATTTGATGACGTTTTACCTGCATACAGATAATACGCAATATTAATAGTCTCAGGAAATGTCATAAATTCATTGTCCCCAGATCCAAAATTTCAGAGCCTTGAGCCCCCCGAGCTATCATGCTCAAGCTCTTTAGGAAGGAATGTACTGCATACCAATCAAAGCTGCACAGGAAATGAAGGCAGCCTGAAGTGTTCACATCTCTCTGCTCTTGAACACACACTGATCACCCAGAGCATTCACAGTACTTTCCAGTAAGGAAAAACATATACTGCAGAAATGATATAGGGCCAGATTTTCAAAAGAGAACAGATCTCATTTAGGCAACTACATCAAGGATATATTTTCAAAAGTGTTCAGCACCAACAGCTCCCACTGTTACATCTTTGGAGAGATATTCGAAGGAGCTCAGCACACGCTGTAGAAAAAACTATGCACTCATTTTGGTGCCTAAATAAAACTGCAGCTCTTCTGAAAAATCTAACTGCAATTTTGGGTGCTGAGCACTTTTGAAAATCTGCCCCAATATGACAGAACAAATAACCATCAAGTTGAATCATACTACTTAAGACAACAAATAAGGTATTCAGAGTGCGTTTTGAACAGTGATGCTACAGATGCCAAGCTGATGTGAACAAGAGGCAGATACAGAGCAGAGCAAACTGGTTAGTTCTACTGTCATGTAAATTAGCAGAGTGTAAAAGAAGAAAAGTGTAAGCTACCAGAAAGCCACAGACCTAGCAAAGACCCAGTGAATGGCCACTGCACACAAAGAGATGAATCTTACGGCAGAGACCTCAGCCTGGAGACCAGCCACTCTTTTTTTCAGCTCCTCCCCTTGAACCTCTTTGGCACTTAGTTCTTCCTTCAGTTGCTCTACCTGCCACGACATTGTTATTCTTTTCAATGTTTATCATTTGTTGTCTTCTAGTTGACCTATTTCAGCCATCATAGTGATGAAACGTGACAAAGAACTACACAGCAAGATCATGACTGGCCACTCATTCCCTCATCCTTGCTGTCATGATCAGAGGAGTTTGAAGTTCCTCTATTTTCACAAGTCCCCAGGCAAGAGTTTCATCACCATACTTATAAAAATTAACACTACAAACATGGTTACAGTTGGTTTATACATTTCAGATCTAGGGCATATTACCCAACCATTTTGAAACTGGGAGCAAGTAGAAAATTAAAACAGAAATAGTGAGAGAAAAATCATTTACTTCAAAGGTGTAAACTGGACGAATATGCCAGGAAGCAGCTGTTGATGTTAACACAAGCACATCATTAAAAGGACAACTATATACATTTATTAAGCAAGACAAGACAGAGGGATAGGAGAAGACAACAGGATTGTGGCTGGTCATAAGCCACAAGGGGGATAAGGCTGTTAAATCAACAAGGGGTAGGGAGGAAGTTGTCAGCAGGAGAGAAGAGCGTGTGATGTATGGAAGAGATCCAGAAATTTATCACAAGCAAATAGGTTCATCAAGTCTGTAAATGGGGAGGATGATGTGATGTGAGTTTCTAACACAGTGAAGGGGAAATAACTGGATATGGTAAGGTAGTACGAAAGCTTGGTAATTCAAATGGCCTTTGCATATGCCTAAAATGTTTCCCCCCCTCCTCCTCATTTGCTAGTGGTAACTCAACAGGATAAAAAGCGCTATTTAAAAAACAGAGGCGTTTTCCCTGGGGTGAGTCAATGTACTGGAGTGGTGGAGGCACTAACAAGTCTTATTACCACATATATTTCTGCTTTAGGGTATTGTAATCTTGTGTTTAACTTTCTCCAACAGGTTAGAACTATATTGTTTAAACAAATCATTTCACTGAAGGACAAATACAGTGGTGAGCACTCCACAATATCCAGTAAAAACAAAATAGGAAGTGACCTTAAACTCTACAGTCCAGCAAGCAGTGTTGATACCAAGCTCTGTGCCAAAGTACCTGCGTTTCTCAGTGCCATCTTGCCTTGCAGCACAAACATACTCATCAGTTTGAAAAAATCTTGGCACCACTACTGAAGTAGAATCTGTTCATTTTATGATAACACTACCGGAAGGACAGTGCAATAGAAACCCCTTCACTACAGTTCATGCTCACCCCAGGCTTGAAACAACACTAAATCTCTTGGTCATGTCACAGTGATCCAACAGGTCAAATGGGAAGAAATATTTTTCTCCCTCCATAAAGTATTTTTAAAAGGCTGCTAAACTAAGAGCATGTCTACACAAACACTTACTGCACGGCAAGCTGGGGTGTCAATCTACAGCTCTCCAACATACCACACACTAACTGTCCATATGACCTTGCTGATGCCCACTAGGGAACTTTTAGTGTGCATCAGCAGAGTTCACACACACAGTTAGTAAGCAGCATGTTAGAGAATTGTAGCTCTACAACCCAGCTTGCCATGCAGTAAGTGTTTAGGTTAATTAAGGGCATGTCTACACAAACTATAAGAAGAACTAGATAAGAACCAAAGATATTGACAAATCTCACTTAAGTCAATGGAAGCTGTGAGTGTATATCTAAAGACAGAATCTGGCCCACAGTTCTATAGTTTTCCTTAAACATTCCATTTTCCTTTGTTAAATATTCTAAGGCTAGTCCAGTCATTTCAGAGTAGAATGCAGATGCCTCCTCTCTCCTATCTCCCAATGCTCGCAGTACAGGGCAGGTCCCAAATCTATCCCTTGATTCGATGACATGAGTAGGAGTACTTCTCCCACCTGTTCCCCAAGGCTCAGAATTCATTATGCTACTATCATTGCTCTCTAATTACCTTGTTTTTCATGAATTTGGAATGACTACGGTACACCTCCATTTGCTTCATTTCCTCCTCACGCTCTTCTGTGCTTAGAGCTCCATTTGACTTCAGCATCTGAATCTCCTCTTCCAAGTCACGGAGGCCACGTTCCATGGAGGAGATTTTTGAGTCCTGAAAAGAGTAAGAAGAGAGGGAAACCAACGTGCAGTTAAACGTCTCATTAACACACTGTAAGAGGAACAATGTATATGAGTGCACCAGTGTTGTAACTGCCCCTTAATAAACATTCTCTGAGTAATTACTCTGCACCTGTTTAAACATCATCTCTAAGCAACTAAGACTGACTGCCTGAGAGGGCACTTTTCTCCAGTTCTCTCCATTCTGCAAGCAAAGGAGTGTACGCCTGTGAACTAGGCTGTTGCTATGGGTGGCATTTGAAGTGAACACTAAGTAAGAGACTGTGAAACAGTCACTTTGCAGTCCTGAGGTTATATATACACCAGAGAAATTATTATGGTGACAGTAATACAAATAATGATGGCACAGTATTAGTACAAACAGCAGTTTCATAGTGACCCTAAGCCATGGATGTGCCACAAGTATGGGAAAAGAGAGCTTGTGAAACAAGTTCGTCTCAGCTTCTACTGATGTGGTCTACGTGACAAATGAGAAACACAATAAACATCATAAAGCACGGAATGGATGCACTGATATCAATCTATTCCTGAGTGGATGAACATATAGTGATGCTAAATTAGTCCAAGCCTCACACATACTTTTTCAAATATTTCTACACAGTTAAAAAAATACATACATGTTACAAGTAAACAATCCAATCTGTTGTCTTTTTCATGCTGTAACAGAATAAATAGAGGTCTTCCAATCTACTTGATTTATTGTTGATTGTTTATTGTCTCAGGTGTTAGACATAACAGGAAGAAATGGTTAACCTATTCTGTAACTGTTGTTCTTCAATATATGTTGCATATGTCCATTCCATTTCATGTGTGCGCATGCCCAGTGCACAACTGTCAGAGATTTTTCCCTCAGCGGTACCTGTCAGGGTGGGTGCATGTGCCCTCTGCTACTGCATGATGGTATAAAGGACAGAGCTGCACCCAATCTCCCTCAGTTCCTTCTTACCAGACAGACTCCAGTAGAGAGAGGAAGGAGAGTGGATTGTGGAATGGATACATGCAACACGTCTCAGAGAACATGATAGTAACTGTTTCTTCTTTGAGTGATTGCACACGTCTATTCCACTTCAGGTGATTCACACAAGCAATTCATACAAGCAGGTCAATCTGGAGGGGAGGATCAGAGTCTACCTGAATAAAGACTGAAGGTCGACCCAACAAACTTGGCTTCATCTCTAGATTGCTGAGAAACATCATAAGAGGAGGCAAAGGTATGCAAGTTTGCCAAAGTCCAGAACAGGCACTTGGGGAAGAAGGGCATTTGCAACCTCTAGAGCCTTTGATGAATGTGCTAACACTCTCTTTGGAGGGTTTACATTGGCCAAGTCATAGCACAAATGTATACAAGAGGAGATCCAGGATGAGTTTCTTTGAGAAAAGTCGGGACCTGCCCTTCATCCAGTTTGCAACTGCCACAAACAACTGTGAAGATGATTGGAATGATTTAGTCCTGTCCAGGTAAAACACCAACACTATCCTAGTCTCCTCCTGACATCTAACATGTGAAGACTCTCCTCATCCTTATGAGTATGAGGTTTAGAGGAAAAAGCTGGTAAACAGATAGCTTGATTAATATGGAACCGAGACACCACTTTGGTGAGGAACTTTAGATGAGGGCACAGGTACAGCTTGTCCTTTTAGAAAACAGCATAAGGAGATTCAGACACTAGAGTTTGTAATTCATCCACTCTCCTGGCTGATATAATTGACAAAAAAAAGGCTACCTTCATTAAGAGAGGGAGTAATGAACAGGCAGCCAGCAGGTCAAACAGAGAACTCATTAGCTTCATTAACAGCAGATTTAAGTGACATGGATCCTCTACTTGGGGATATAATCAGTTCACAGCCTTTAGAAATCTGATTGTCACAGGATCTGAGAAAAGTAAGCAGCTGCTTCTTCAGCATTCCTCTCAGGTCAGCTTGACCTCGGCCTAAAGCTTCAACTACTTTAATCACTTATGCTAAGTTAGTAACTTATGCTAAGTTATAAGAACAAACTTATTGAACATTTATATGAAATAGCATATAAGCACTTTTTTTAATAACAAGTATGGCACAGGTTTTTGGGGGCGGGAGGGGGAGGGGCAGGATTGTTAGGTATTTGGGAAGCCTCACCCATGCAGACCTGGCTGATCCCAAACCTCTCCCATTCAGTCAGGCACATCTGCCCCTGTCCCCGCACCCCCCAACCTGATGAGTCCCTGCAGCCTCCTCTTCCCTCCCCATGTGGCCATGCACCCCCACTCCCATTCAGACCCTGGCTCAACCCTGTCATCCCACTAACTTCTGAGCCCACGCCCCAGTCTGTCCCCCTCACTAGCCATTCCAGACCTCAGTCTGTGACCACCCCCAGCAGCCCCATGTGCCATATTCTGTCCTAAACTGGCTCCATGGACTAGGTGCTGTGATGAACTTCTACTTCTGGGGGAAATATGTGCCACTGCATACACACAGAAAATCCTTCCCCCCCACCGAAAATACAATCTGCCCCAGAAGTGCTGCAGTTCTACCTTTTGCCCATCAGAGGCTACTGTGGCACCAGAACAGCCTGCTGCATTCCTACTGTTGGCTATTCTGGCACCACAGTGGCCTCTGATGGGCAAAAGACAGAACTGCAGCACTTCTGGGGCAGATTGTATTTTCTGAATAAAAAAATAAAATTATTTGGGACACATGAATTCTGTGCATGCGCAGTGGTGCAGAAATCCCCAGGAGTAATACTGGATCAGCTCAACAGGCCATCTAGCCCAGTATCTTCTCTTCTGACAGTGGCCAGTGCCAGATGCTTCAGAGGGAATGAACAGAACAGGGCAATTGTTGAGTGATTCATCCCATCATCCAGTCCCAGCTTCTGGGAGTCAGAGATTTAGGGACACCAAGAACATGGGGTTCCGTCACTGAGCATCTTCGCTAATAGCCATTGATGGACCTATCCTTTACTAACTTATCTAATTCTTTTTTGAGCCCAGATATATCACTCGTCTTCACAATATCTCCTGGCAACGAATTCCACAGGTTGACTGAGCATTGTGAGAAGAAGTTCTTCCTTATGTTTGTTTTAAACCTGCTGCCTATTAATTTCACTGGGTGGCGTCTTGTGTTCTCGCATTATACAAAGGCTTAAATAACAAACACTTTCCCACACCATTCATGATTTTATAAATCTCTCTCATATCCCCCCTTAGTCATCTCTTTTCCAAGCTGGACAGTCCCAGTCTTTTTAATCTCTCCTCATATGGAAGGTGTTTCATACCCCTAATCATTTCTTTTGCCCTTCTCTGTACATTTTCCAATTCTAAAAACCAGTTACTAACCTTTTGTAACTGTTGTTTTTTGAGATGTGTTGCTCATGTCCATTCCATGCTAGTTGTGTGCATGCCACCTGCACAGTTGCTGGAAATTTTTCCCTAAGTAGTATCCATTAGCCCCCTCTGGAGTTGTGTCCATATGCGTCAGTATAAAGGACGCCACTGGCCCCACGCCCTCTCAGTTCCTTCTTGCAAGTAGCTCCAACAGAGGGGTAGAAGGGCTGATCATGGAATGGACATGAGTATCATATCTTAAAGAACAGCAGTTACAAAAGGTTAATAACCATTTTTTCTTCTTCAATTCTTGCTCATATCCATTCCATACTAGGTGACTCACAAGCAGTTTTCCCGGAGGTGGGCTCAGAGTTCATGGACATGTTGACTGCAATACTGCTCTCCCAAAACAGGCATCACCATGGGCCTGTTGGATGATAGCATAGTGGGAAGCAAAGGTATGAACCAATCTCCAGGTTGGGGCTCTGAAGATGTCCTGGATTGGTACCTGCACGAGGAATGCTGTAAATGAAGTCTGGGCTCCTGTGGAATGAGTGATCACAATGCCCAGAAGCAGAATCTTCGCTTGCTTGAAGAAAGCTCAGATACAGGTGATTTTTCAGGACGATATCCTTTAGGATGACACAGGTAGTCCTCTCATCCTTTCCACTATTGCTACAAAGAGTTGCGTGGACTTGCAGAAGGGCTTAATCCTCTTGATATAAAAGGCGAGGGTCCGCTTAACATCCAATGTATGACGTTCCTCAGAGATTTTGTGAGGTTTTGGAAAGAAGACAGGTAGAAAAACATCCTGGGTGTTGTGGAATTGCAACACCATCTTTGGTAGGAAGGTGGGATGGGGGCGCAGTTGGACCTTGTCCTTGAAAAATACCACAGAATGGAGTTCTGACATCAGGGCTTTGATCTAAGAGGCTCTTCTGGCCAAGGTGATCACCACCAAGAAGGTGACCTTGCAAGAGAGAAGCAGTAGGGAGTATGATGATAAAAGATGAAAGGGAGGCCCCATGAGCATCAACAGACCAGATTTAAGTCTCATGGGGGGGATCGGTTTGCAAACCTGAGGATAGAGTCTTTCAAGCCCCTTGAGAAACATGACTCTTCTTATGGGAGAACACTGATCTGCCATTCACTGGAGGGTGAAAGGCTGAGATGGCTGCCAAGTGAACCCTTGACAGAGCCAGACCCTGATGCTTTAGATGGAGTAGAGTGTCCAATATAGACTGCAGAGAAGAACGGGATGGAGAAGGTTCCATTCAGAGGCCCAACAAGTGAAATGTTTCCACTTGGCCAGGTAGGTAGCCCTGGTGGAAGGCTTTCTACTACCTAGCAAGATCTGTCAAACCTAATCCAAGCAGACGTGTTCTTCAGGGTCCAGCCATGCAGCTACCACATTGTCAGGTGCAGAGAAGCGAGGCCTGAGTGAAGCAACTGGTCGTGATCTTGTGAAATCAAGTCCAGGCAGAGTGGGAGCACGAGTGGAGCTGCCAGTGAAAGGTCCAGAAGCATAATGAACCAATGCTGGCATGGCCATGCTGGTGCTATCCGGACAACCCTAGCCTTGTCCCATTTGATTTTCAGGAGGACCTTGTGAACCAAGGGGATCACTGGAAAAGCGTACAGTAGCAGTCTGACCACGAGAGCAGGAAGACAT